GAGCCCCAAAAACCCGAATCACCAACCAAAAACCCCATTAAACCGCTCAGGAAATACACATAGGAGAGGGAGTGGCTGTAGAGAGGCTAAGGAGCAAAATAAATGTAGATTAAGAATCCTCCAGAAAGAAACCTACTCTGGGGACCATAGAGTTAATTAACTCTAGCTTAATTCGAAAAGGGCTACATAATATTTGGCTCTGCAATACTTATAGTTAAGGAACCTTTGATTAGAAGTAATCAAATCTCATGCTTCAGGGCGTGAGTTGATTACTGCAGGGGTCAGGGAGGATCCCATCCTTCCCCTGCTGTATCCACACATTATCCCCTGTTAGGCTAAAAATAAATCAGTTGTTCGGGAGTTTTTGTGTCTTCTTTTCTGCCTCAGGCAAAACAGTGAGCGTGATGGGCCAAGACTGTTCCTTTGGAAGAGATTTATGGTAACCGTCGAGCACCGCCAGCCAGGCCGTGGTGTGCGCGGGGGACCCTTCGCTCCGTTCGGGGAACGCTTTAAAAACACGGTTGTCAGTGGGTGTGGGGGGAAGGCAGCCCCCCCCCTTGGCGCGTGGGCGTCCCCGGGGGCGATGCCGCCTCGGCGTTTTGGGGGGCGGGGGGAGGGTTTGGCCGGGTGGTGCTGGGCTGCAGCGCACCCCGGCGCGGCGAGGGGACCTGCATGCGGGATGGCTTCGGGCTCCCTCGGCACCCTCTGCCTTCAGCAGAGGAGCTGCTCACGTTGCTGAAGCTTCGCAGCTGGGCTCGTTCTGGGGGATGTTGCCTTTGCATTTAAACCCGCGCGCTTTCTAGGGCTGCCCCCGCTTCCCAGGGGTGAGTGCTCCCATCGCCGCACCTCAGCGTCCCCGGCAGCCGGCTCCTGCCCAGCGTCAGACCTGCTGGGGAATATCAGGAGTAATAATCATCAAAGGGAGGCAGCCCTCACGTTTATTTGCTCCTTCCCATCCTTTCTGAGCAACTCTTTGTGGTTGCTGATCCATCTCAGCCCTTTCTGCCTTCTCCTGGTGTGGTTTAATTTCCTTTGCTGCCCGGATCCATCCTAGAGTGTGCAGAGCCCATTTGTCGTTGCTTTTTTATGAGCTTTTCTCATACCTTGGCTGGAATACCTTTTGTAACAGAGTTTGTTTCAGTGCTGTTTTGCTTTGAGGAACGTGCAGTGACTTCCAGCTGCAGAGGTGTGACCGTTTTGTTTTCTCCGTATTTAATACTTAGCAAATAAATGTTCTCCAAAAAACTGAATGAGAGCAGAAGGAGTCTGTATTCTCTTTGAACATTCCTCCTAAGATCTGAAGATACTTTCAGGTACGCGTTAGGCTCTCACGTAGTACCCAGCATTGCCATGGCCAAGTGCAAATGTTATCCTGGTAAAACATTATTTCATGCCTTGTGACAGACACATCAAATATCTTTTAGCTATTTAACCAGCGAGGAAATGAGATGCACGCGTCAGCAGCTGGGGAAGCGTTTCATTCTCTCAAGCCCAGTACGGTCGCGGCCCCGGCTGTGTAAAACCCCTCAGCATTTCTGCAGAGCTTCATCGTTTTGTGTTAAACCCCACCGGGTCCCTGCAGACCCTCCAGCCGCCGCTGCCTCTCGTGGAGACGGCGGCTGCCCCGCGGGGCCGGGTGCTTCGGGCTCCCGCTGGCTGTTGCTTTGTTCCGAGAAGCGTGCCTCGTGCCCCGGTGCTGGTGCAGTTCGGTGGCACGGGTTGCTCCCCGGCCCTTCAGGCCACCCCAGCCCTGCTTCTTGCACGGGCTCACCCTCGGCCCCCGCGGGCGAGTCCTGGGGAGGAGCTGGCTCTGCCGTGGCTGCCTGACGACGGCCGCCCGAGGGAACACGTTGGGATGCTCCTGCTGGGATGGAGACTGGCTGGCTTTCCTCCTGGCTTCGGGCGAACCTTTTCGTGCCTCTCTGTGCCCACTCCTGCGTCTAAAACGGCGTTACTGGCGCTGGGGTTAATGGCCAGCGGAGGTCTGCAGCCCCCGGCCCCTCCTCGGGTGCAGCTCTGCAGTGGGACACACACACACACACATTTGGAGCGTTTGGGCCAAAACCAGCTTGCCTGAGCTCCAGGGTGTCTGTCGGGTTTATTTCTCAAGTTGAACACTGTAATATTTCCACCCATGCCAGGGGTGTTACCAGACTTAATGAATTAATATACAGAGAGCTTAGAGGTCTTCAGATGAAAGGCACTGAAGAAGGGCTAAGGATTATTATTTGCGGCTCTAATTTCTTTTCCATCAAAGGGATGAGAGGGGTGAGAAAATGCCATTTGTTCTGGAGCTTGGGAGCAGGAGTTTGAAGTCTTTCTTTTCTTTCTTTTTCTTTTCCCCTCCCCTTTGTGTGTTTCTCTGGGAATTTTGTGGAAGTCCCTGCTCTGTCTTTTCTTCTCTGGGCACCGGCGTGTGAAGCAGCCGGCGCAGCGCTAATCACCAGAGGCTTCAAGGGCCGAAATATGTCAGGAAAGCGCCTGCCCTGGTTTTCAGTTGCAACTGATTTCTGGGCATTGCAAATAACTGCTAGCTTCAGCGCGAATTCAGCATCAAAGTCAAGGGAAGATTTCACACGGAATTTTTTCTCAAAAGCATCTGGCAATACCCCGAGCTCTGTCTCCACGGATTCTGTGGCATTCAGCGATTTTCCTTTGTAATAGCTCAGTTTTGTATACTTCGGGAATTCCCACCCTTGATCGGTGGCAGATATTTTCTCCTGGTATGATTTTTTGTAATCGAGTAGCAATAATTCCCAAGGGGGTGGGGGAGCAGCAGCGAGGGGATGGAAGGCGCGCTGGGAAACGTGCACAATCCTGTTTTCAGGGCGCAGAGCTGCGGCGCCCGAGCCGAGCGGGTCGTGGGGGCTCGTGGTCCGAGCACTGAGCTCGCCTCTCGTGGCCGTGAGCGGCCGGGGGGTGCTCAGGGTGCGCCCGGGCACAGCGGCGAAGGGCAGGGCAGCTGCATCGCCCCGCTCCTCCGCTCCTGTGAGCAGCCCCGGGGCGGTCGGACAGGCGTGATTGCTAAAAGTCTCTCGTGGGAGAGGCTCGCGGTGCTAGAACGAGGTTTCGCCCTGCCCCAAGTGGTGAACAGAAGTTTGCCCTGATTCCTTGGTTTTTGTGTTGCTCGCTGATTCGTGAAGGCAGAGCTATATTACTCCTTAACTGCCCCTGTTTTCAACTAATAAGATTGGAAGCTAAATAGGAGCAGGATAAATGGTGGATTATGACCATCCAACACTTCCTGCAAAAATCCCAATTATTGCATGTGTGGTTTTAACAGCTTTAAAAGACTAGGTGGGGAGGGGCAGGCTGTGCTCGTGTACCTGCAAGTGGGAATCAGCCAGTTACGGTTTTACTGCTGCTTTTAGCACAGGCTCAGCCAAACACAGCTCTGCGTGTGACTTGATCTGAGGTGAGGGTTGTCTCTTCAGACCAGCAGAAAGCATGAGATATCTCCTTTGGAGCTGCTTGTGGCACCAGCTGAGTTTTCACATTTCCCTTGGAGTTTATCAGTACTAATACACTTTTTTGTGCCTTTCTGCATCGGGTCAGTAATGCCTGTGGGTGCGTAAAGCCGGAGAAGGTGCCACTGAAATGCCAGCTCCCCACAGGGGGTTCTGCTGCTGCCGAAAAGCTAGCTTCGTTTGGGGTCATTGAGATTACGCTAGCAATCTTCTCTTGCCTGTAGCTTTGTGTGCCGTTCTGGTGCTCTTGGCAGTGGTTTTGGCGGGGCTGCATTGGGGTTGAAGCCAGCTCGCCACATGCCTGTGCTGTGCCGGGGTGGTTTTGGTTACAGCTCACACAGGGAGGACTTCCGACTCGTTCCTTAACGCGTGGCAGCAAAGCATCTTAACTTCTGTAATACAGGTTGTCCCGTGGTACTTTTCATGTAATCGGGGTGACTTGCTGGCAACGGTTAGTTTGGTGCTACGAGCTATAGGAGGTGTTTCTCACGGGGTCCCTCTGTTTCTCGCACGGAGGTGTCCCTGTGAGCCCCGGGCCTGTCCCTGCAGGTCACGGTGCTTGTGTGCCGAGCTGCCCGAGCAGCTTCGTGCCGGGCGGGCAGCAGTGCCCGCGCTGTGCCGGGGGACGGGCACGTATGGTTATGAAACCCCTCGCAGAGGGGGAAGCCGCAGTTATCTGACCTTACATCTTCTACCAGGAACTCCAGCCCTCTCGCGTCCCAGAGATGGACGCGCTTTGGTTGTGGACTGCAGCCCTCCTGTGTCGCTGCGCTCTCCTTCCAGCCCCACGAGCGTGGCTCGGGCTGATGCGCTGCGCTCCTCCGCCTTCCAGCCTCCTCTCTGGCTTGCCTTTCCCCGCAGAACAAAATCTCTTGACCCCCACGTTTTGAGTGCTGCTTCAGTGCCCGTCCTTGCCCCCCACTTGCGGGGCGGAGCGGAGCCCTGTGTGGGTGGTGTCAGGGCTCCCGTTGGGGACGGGGAGGAGAGCTGCTAAGAGTTGCTTTTTGCTCAGCTGTGATTAAGCGTTCATAGCAGCAAATCCCTGTGCTGTAGCTATACTTAACATGCCAAACTCAATTATATTGAGAAGAGAGTTTAAAAACAGGCTTTTGTCTAATGTACAGTATTTTGGCAGCAATTAGCTCTGAGTTATATCATTTTCCCCAAGGTGAACATGCAGATGATCAGTTATGCATGAGAAGCTGCTCTGTCGTGAGAGAGAAGGCAGCTTCCTAGTGAGGATAAAAGGGTTTGCATGTACTGCAGGACACGTTTTTTGATGCCATCTTGCTTGAACGTCAGGGTCACTGTGCTGTCTGGCTGTTTGTTCCCTTATATTTGCCTCCTTCGGTCCTCTTTCCTTCTTGCCTTTTCATATGGTATTGCTGTATGCTGTTAAATACACCCCAGTACGACAGGGCTGGTGTTTCTCTGGGACACAGAGTGCTGTTCTGGGCATTTAATGGACACATGACCCTCCAGAGCAAGGGTGGGAGTGTCTGTGTGATGAGACCCTTCCTCGGTGTTTCTCAGTGCTGTGATCTGGGATTCCACGCCAGCCTTGCTCGGACCTTCAGGACGTACCTGTCTGCCGAGTACAACCTGGAAACCTCCCGCCACGAGGGCCTGGACATCATCGAGAACGCCGTGGACAACCTGGATGCACGGAGTGACAAGCACACCATCATGGACATGTGCAACCAGGTCTTCTGCCCTCCACTGAAGTTCGAGTTCCAGCCTCACATGGGGGACGAGGTAGCGTACTCGCCGGGGGGGCTGCAGAGGTGCCTCGCAGCCTGCCCTGGGCTGGCTTCCTCCTCTTAACCATCCCCGTTAAGTTATTTCTGACTCCTTACCCCTCGGTGCTGTTTTCACACACTGCTATTCGTGTTTCCTTTCTTAATGAGACACTCGGCTCCTTAGGGCTCCTCCTTTCAGTCTGCCTCTTGCTCCACATCTCTCCCAATTAGGAAGCCTGTGGCGTGATTGTCAGCTGAAGTGCCCAACAGATTTGTAAAGTGGAGCTTTGATTTACCTGCCGTAATTGGAAGACTTCAGAGTGCAGCTTTCAAATGCCGGGTGGAAAATGCTTTGTGCTGGCCCAGGTCCAGGGCACTGCTGATTAGCAAGTGGGTGATGTGGCCTCCCGGGAGGCTGTGAGGAGCTTCTGGGTGCTGGAGAGAATAACTTAGGGATTGAAACGTGTGTGTCTGGTGAGTGCCCGACCCTCTGAATGCTCTCCTGTCTCAGGTGTGTCAGGTCAGCGCCCAGCAGCCTGTGCAGACCGAGTTGCTGATGCGGTACCACCAGCTGCAGTCGCGACTAGCCACCCTCAAGATAGAGAATGAAGAGGTAAGAAGTCGCTCTGGGTCTCGTGTTTGGCCCTGCAGGCAGCGTTGCTCAGCCTTTAGCCCGTTGCACAGGGGGGTTCCCGGTGCGCTCGGGTGTGGAGCCCTTCCAGTGCCGGCGCTGAGAGCTCCCGCTGACTGCGGCTGGCGCAAGAGCAAGCCCGGCACTTGGGAGCTGCCCCCTGGCCGGTGGTTCTGGCTCCAGATGTGTCGCTTCCCCAGTCCGCTTCAAAACCACGCTGTCTTCTGTTTCTGATAGGTGCGAAAAACCCTGGATGCCACGATGCAGACTTTGCAGGACATGCTGACGGTGGAAGATTTTGACGTTTCAGACGCCTTCCAGCACAGTCGCTCCACTGAGTCGGTCAAATCAGCTGCGTCGGAGACCTACATGAGTAAAATAAACATCGCCAAGAGGAGAGCCAACCAGCAGGAGACCGAAATGTTCTATTTTACAGTGAGTCTCATGCCATACAGGACTCAAAGCATTAATTGCTAGGGCCGAGTCCCATTTTAAATGTTCATTAGTGAAGCGCAAGAACTAATTCAGTCTCTCTACGTACTTGTCTTCTGTCTGATCTGGGGTCGGAATGCATATCTCAGTGGCAGGGACTGACAAGCCAGTGTCTGCCTTGTTCGTCTTTTTGAAGGAACAACTGGAGCAACCAGTTGTGACCAAAACCCTACACAACTCGGGAGTGGCGGCTCAGGGCAGGGCAGCAGACACCAGCCAGCCTCGCGGCGTGTCACCCTTCCTGGAGGCCTTTACAATTTTGATCCATTTGCCAAACCTTCCTTTGCTGGCCTGCCCAGCTGAAATCTGCCCCGGGCCCGCGGTTGAGCCCAGCGGCCCCCGGCATCCCCCGCAGGGTGCTGGGGGGGGGCTGCGACGGCCGGGCTTGCCGGGGCAGCCGTGGTCGGGTGCCTCGCTCCCAGGCGGACCGAAGCTTCTCTGTTGTGGTGCTTGAAGTGTAAGGCATAAGCCGTCCATCCGCTCAGCAGAAGCAGCCCTCATTTAAGCATGGTTGGTAGGCTAAAGGTAATAGCACCTTGGGGTACGTTGCATATGCACAAAAAAGCTTCTGCTTTCTCTTAACAGTAGTATTATTCCAACTCCGGGGGCCAAACAACGGCAGTTTTCATTGTGAGTTGTGCTTGGGGTTTTTTTAATGCTTTTTGCAAGGATTTTCTCTCTCCCCTTCTCTGTCTTTATCTGTAAAACTGCTTGCTCTTGAGCGTTGCCGGGTGTCAGACGGTCTCACAGTGAAATGAGAAGTTGTACCACACAGTTAGTGTCACCCAGTGCCTAAAGCATCCGATGGTCCCTGGCCTGGGTCGGTCTCATGCACTGGGAGTTCTCGCTCTGCATCACTTGTCTGCACAAAGGCAAAGCTCCTGTCAGTGGAGGGAAAGCCTCTTTGATTTTCCAGGCTGTTCCCAGAGGCCTGACGAGAGCAAGCTTGCTTAGAACTCTCTTTGTTGGGAGCTCCTTGCGTTGCCAGGCAGCAGATGCAGCACCAAGGAGACCGGGCTAATAAGATCATCAGGACTGTGGCTGGAGCAGTGAGAAGTGATTAGACCGTGCTCAGCCCTGCGGCGTCTGACGTCTGGTTGGTTTGTCAGAGCCTGTCAGCCGTGCTGAGCCCCCTCCAGCAGCCCCCCGGGCAAAAGTGTACATCAGTTACGGACTATTCTTGCCAAGAGTCTTAACCCACCTCGTTCGGTTTATTTTTAATTCCAGAAATTCAAAGAGTATTTGAATGGCAGTAACCTTATCACGAAGCTCCAGGCCAAACACGACTTGCTGAAGCAGACTCTTGGAGAAGGTGAGTGGTGGGGTTAGGTCCGGGGAGGAACCTCCTGTCACACGAGATGACTTTAAACCTGGCGTCATCTTTCAGTCTTAGTGGCTGTCTGTGTGTGCCTGAGTGACTGAGTAGCTGCCTCTACTAAGTTTAACCAGTGACATGCAAAATCATTATTTCCTAGGAATATTACTCTTTTCCCACCTTTCTTGAGGGGGGCACATAGAGAAATTTGTTTGAATTTTACACTGTGTGCCAAAGTGCTGTGTTACTTCTTCAGTAAAGAGATTCCCACCCGCTCCAACCCTCTGCCTTTTTCCTTCCTCTACCCCTTCTTCCCCACTTAGCGCGGCCCTGAACACACGTGTTTCCTTGTCCTTGATGCTGTGCTTCTGTGTCACGGGTTTGCCAGCAGCCTTGCTGATTTAATAGGCCCCTTGCCCCCCTGGCCGTAGGTTTTTTTACTTGCTCTAAACCAGAACTGCAAAATCATCCTTGTTTTTAAAGCTAACTTTTGCGTAGCAGGCTTTTATTGCTCCAGATAACGTCACAAGTGGGGTTTAGAGCACATGCACACAAACAGGCTTCGTACAGCAGAGGGGCAGTGACTTCTGAGGGAGGCAGGAGCGAGCGGCTCCAGGTGGGATCCGCCACTGCTGGGGTAGTGATGTGCAGCCATGTCCCCGGCAGAAGATTTTAGCTCTTTTAAAGGGTTTTTAAAAATTGCATTATTTCCAGTGTAAAGGAGATGGAGATGAGTTAGTGTCCTGATTTTCCAACAGGAGAGACTATGTTTAAATCAAAATACACGAGTGGTCCATGGTCATCTTTTAACAATGCAAAAATTGGACTCCTCATCTCAGAGTGGAAAATAATAATAATGATGATGATGATGGTGATGATGATGATGATAATTATTATTATAATAATAACAACAATAATAATACTAGCAGCTTGCTTTTGGCTATTTTGCCAAACATTTTCTCTGCCAAATTTATTTAGCCCTAAAATCCAGCTGCCAGTTCGATCCTGTGGTATGTTCCACTCCGTGAACACCGAGCCAAGTCGAGGCACCAGCTGTAAGCAGCAGGAAGGCTGCAAGGGTAGGCGCACAGGGCTCCGTTAGCGTACTTCAGGAGTTTCGGCACCCCCTGTAGCCGCCCGAGCCCCTGGGCCCCTGCGCGGCGGGGCGGCCGGCTCCGCGGCAGCGTGGCAGGGCCGTGCGAGGCTCCGCGGGCTGGCTCCCAGCTGGGGCGCCGGCGGGGGCACGGAGCGGGCGCTTCGCTGAGATGGGACCCATCTGGGCTCTTCCCGAGACCACAGGCACGGGAGGGAGCTCCGGGTGTTCCATCCAGTCCTCGGGCTCCCCTGGATCGGGGCAAGAAGTGATGAACCGGGTGAAGATTAATTGGATCGCCACCCCGGTCTCTCACACGAGAGCCATACTAACGCCACGCTTAGGAGGAGGGATCCAGGGTCAGGTGTTTTAATTCTCTAGAGTTGTGCGAAAGCAGCCGTGGAAGATTTTCAAATGAAAACTTTCTGAATTTCTCTCGGGCCGTGGCATCATCCTGCTATGTAGGCGTTCAGCAAATATTTAGCCCAGAAATGCCAAATGCTGCGTTTCAGCGTGAGCTGATTCTCATTAGGAAGAAGTCTGGATTTGCAAAACACTTGTGTGGAATTCTTTTCTTTTTCAGTGAGGAATTGGCTGCAAGCTTGCTTTCCGCGGGTGCCAAGGGAGAGCAGGAAGGAGGCATGTGCAGCCAAATGCTTCCTTTTATGTGCCTTAAAAAAAGGAAGAATAAATCAGCTTTCCTGGCCTTGGGAGAGAGGCACAAACAGCATGTGCAGTTAGTTTAATTTTTTTCAGCGTATTGACAAATACTTGAAAAAATGAACAGATCTTATCAGTGGTGATACGCTGCTCTTTATATGAAATCCAAGCCCTAAAAATACGCGAAGGGAATGAGAATATTGACGGCCAGACCAGAGCCCGCCTGGTGGTGGTTAGATGGGCTGTTATCTCGCAGGACTGTGATGGGGCTGCCCCTTTCCTGCTTGGGTTTGGCCAGGCCCCAGCGAGTGCAAACGAGCACTAATGGCAGAGGACCTGCCGCACATCTGATCATTTACAAGATGGGCTTCACACTGCAAATAAGCCTTTGATATCAGTGGGGGTTGAAGGCGCTTTCCCTCTCTTGTGGCTGAGTCTTGGACTTCTGTCTTTTAGTGGTGGGGGCTTGGATAGCAAACAGCTCAGCATCTCCCCGCGCTGCGGGGCCCGCAGCCCATCCAGCTGCTTTTTGCCCAAAGCCGTTCACTCGGGGCCCGCAGAGCCGGCCGTGAGCGTGCGAGTGCCCGTGCGAATGTGCTTGAACGGTCGTTTGGTGGTGACTAATGTGGAGAGATGATGGAAGCTTGTGTTTCCTCCTAGGTGAAAGAGCCGAATGCGGAACGACCAGGTGAGCAGTTTCTTCCACTTCGTTTGGTTCTGGGGAGGGCTCGCTCTGGCAGGAGGGTGGCCGGGGGAAGGCTGGTTTGCTCTGTTACCAGCGCAGCTCGGCGGGGTTCGGATTTAACCATCTTCCAGCCGCCCTGTGCTGGCAGGCCGGGGGGGGCAGGCAACCCCAGGCTCCCCACATCACTGCCCTGCTTCTCAGCTGCATGGCCTGAAGTGGGTTAATTAGGGCGATGACAAACAGGCCCTTGGTTTTGCTGCAGTGTAATTTCTGGCTGTGAAGTGCCTGGGAGTGCTGTGTCAGCACGGTGCGGTGCCTTGTAGCGTAGCTGAGGTTGGGCTGTGTTCAGTGTCTGCCCGCTTCCTACCATCCCTGTTCCTTTGAGGACTTTGATACGTCCCCCAAAGCCTCTTCCAGCTCTGGCTTCTCTGCCTAGGAGTGCCGAACATGCCTGTATTCACAGATTTTCATCCCTCTACAGCAGGAGATAGTGGATGTGACAGGGAAGAGGCTTTGATCTGTGTCCAGTCCATAAAGCATCTCCACAGAGCGCTGGTGGCTTGCTAGGAGTGTGCTGGTTTTCTAACAGTAAGACGTGTGCCAGCAAAGCCTCCAAACATCTCCCCAGAACACGTACAACCTCTCTCTGTTATCTTTTTACAACCCTGTTTCAGTGTTTAATAAAACTTGCAATACCAGCAAAAAAAAAAAAAACCCAAACCCCAGCCCCATTCCATGTTAGAAATGCTGAAGCAGATGGCGAAGCCGGGGCTGCCTCTGCCGAGGGTGGCGGGGAGCTTCGCTCCTGTGCCTCGGCTGGAGGGGGCTGTGCTGCCCGCGCCGGGCAGAGGGCCCAGGGCTGGCACCCACGGGGGCTGCAGTGCCGGGCACCCAAGCGGCTGGGTAAAATATGGGGAGAATTTGCTCTTGAGTACTGTGTTTATCAGGAGTGGGTGCCCGCGGGGTGGTGGTGTCGCAGGCCAAAACAATCAAAGGAACGAATAACAGCCTCCTACACGAGGGATGATGGCACAGCTCCCTGCTGCTTCTGTTTGCTTTTGTTTCAGCAGTTGCTTTTACTTCACAAAGGAAAACAAACAAGAGACAATCTCGTCCTTGTGTGAGGCAGCGCAGAAAGTGTAGGCAGAGCAACCTTCCCGGCAGATGCAGCCGGAGGCCGGGCTGCCCCGGCATCCCCGGGGAGGGGAGCTTACGCGGCAGCAGACAGCGCTGGGTCTGCAGCTGAGAGTCGGGCGGGCGCTCGGATGGGCAGCAGTGGTTTCTGCTCCTCAGTTACCAGCTGAGGGAGTGGTTAGAAGCTATAGGAGGGTACAGTCAAATTGCTTAATGAAAGGCATCTGATTAAGACACCAGCATATCACAACCGTTGCATCGTAGCTCCGTGTAAATTGTACGTGTCCATTCGACTCTGCTCTGTGAGAACTTTTGCATGAAGGCTCCTAGCACTCCTTTTTGTTTGCAGTCATGATCTTTCCTCTACAGACATCAATACAGCCTGGAGGTAGAGGACAGATCAGAAATTGGTTAGAGTTTTTATGCTATTTTTCTCCCTTTTCTAGATCTAGGCACTTCAGTCTTAATGTCCTTCATTATCAGAAGAAGAAATCCAAATGTGAATAGCACTAATGAAAGCAGCCCTCCAAAGTCCCGATCCCTGCACTAAAATAAGTCACGTTTCCGTGGCCTTGTTTCCAGAGGCAATAGGTGTCCGTTACCCTTGCTGGAGGCAACGGGGCCTTCAAGGTCTGGTCCCCGTGGCTGATGAGGACCCTCGGTCACTAGCTAGTGGGGTAGGGGCACGCCACGTCCCAACACGCATGCCCACCTTTTCTGTTCTTGCAGACATGCTGGTGGGTTTGCTCATCTGTGTTGACTGGGCTCACCTTTCTGTTTGGTGGTTTGAACCTTGGGAACGCCTGCCAGAAAGATGCAAGACTGTTCGCATCCCTGTGAATGTCTCCCAAAAGAAGTTAGCTACAGGGAGGTGGAGGTGTTCCCACTTTCCTCTTTCTGGCCCTCTGTGAGCAGAATGAGATCCATTTAGGAATAAACAGGAATACCCCAGTGTTTTCCAGGGGTAGCTGTGGGTTGTTTTGGATATATCAAGGAATCGGTTGAACTTTCCAGTTGCTCTTTGTGCTTTTTCAGACTGGCAGAGTGCTGAACTGGAGGTAGGAGGCAGGTGTTAAAAGTCCTGCTGAGCACCATCGTCTTTGTTTTACTTCCAAAATATCATCCCTGGTACTAGCACAAACACTGAGCAGCAGTTTTGATATTTGGCTTCTCAGAGGGAGAAATGTATCTGCAGGTCGTGGCTACCAAAAGGCAGTTGTAACCAGCTGTGTTCAGCATCTTTATTACTTGTTGAAGGAAGCGAGTGCTGCATGAGGAGCATTCCCGATCACCCGTTGCTCGTTCAAGCCGTGGTGGTTGGTACGGTTACTGTCTTGATTCCTGGAGACCACTGCTCTTTACAGGAGGAACCAGGACTCTTCAGGAGACCTGTAGCAACAGCTGGTTAGATTGCTAGACGTGACTGCAGCTGAGGTTAGAGTCTGTCTGATAGGGAAATGCTGGAAGATTACGGGGATGGAAAGTAATGGGTAGGCTGGCTCATTGCTGTTATCTATTTCTATTATCAAGATTTAATTTGAATTTATTACCTAAAGGCTCCAGCTTTGACCTTGACTTGAAATTAGACGTGCAGCTCACAGTGAAGAGCTCTGATTTTGCTCGGGGCTGCCCACAGGTTCGCTCTGCCGCCCGTGCAGAGACCTGCCAGCAGCACCCGGGCGGCACTGGCCCCAAAATGAGTTAGCCAAGTTAGCGCTGGGGTAGCCTGCCGCGGGGTGCTGGGCAGGGCTTTGGGGTGAGCAGAGGGCACGTCCCCGGGCGCTGCGGAGCCGAGCTCTTTGCAGGTCCCCCGGCTCCCAGGGGATGCTGAAGCGTGAGCGGCTGCAGAGTGCGTGGAGCCGCGTGTCGAGTCCTCACAGAGGGATCGTTTTGTTTGATTTGTTCCTTATTCTCAGTCATAACCTTTGAGATCTCACCCTGTCATTGCATTTATGTTGGTGTTTTGTTGATTTATTTTGTTCCATTTTCTCCCAGGCCCCCATGTCTTCCCCCTAAGCCACAGAAAATGAGGAGACCTAGGCCTCTCTCAGTCTATAATCATAAACTCTTTAACGGCAATATGGAAACGTTCATTAAGGTACTCGCTGACTGACAGTAAGAGTTTATGAACGCTGTGAATGTAATGGTGGCTTTCCTGTCCTAACTGCTGGCTGCTTTCCTTCCTCGGCGGGGTCTCTTGTCCGCTGTGCACCCAGTTGACGTGGCCAGTGCGTGCTTTGCCTCGGTGACGATTTCTCTCCATAGCTGTCCTCGCCCCTCGTGCGCTCCCGGCGTTACCCGTCCCGTCCCCGCCTGCGTGCCCACGTCCCTCGTGGCCGGCGGCCATGCTGGCCGGCTGTGTGGCGCGGGGCCCTCTTGCCCATCCCGGGATCAGACAGCAAGCACAACCCACCCCAGCACCCTCAAAGGATCCCCTCCACCTTCACTTTTTCCACGCGTTTTTGGTGGTCGTCCTCCCCCGTGGCTGAGGAGGAAGATAAAGCAGCTCGTAAGCTCCCAGAAAGCGTCTCCCAGTTGTGAGGACTGGCAGCCCGGTATTGAAACCCCGTGCGTGTGGGCGGCTGTGTGGGAGGGCAGACGTGCTGTCCTCGTCCTTACACAAAACAGATCGATAGTACCCAGCCCCGCTGGCTCGTCTCGGTGCCAGCGGCTGGTGGGGGGTGGCTGCGGCCCCCTCGTACCGGTGGGCCAGCCTGTCCCCGCGGGCGGCCATTGCCTGGGGACGGGACGGGACGGGACGGGACGGGACGGGACGGGACGGGAGAGGAGAGGCGGCAGGTTGTGTGGCGGCTGCGGCGCCGCAGGCCGAGGCTGCTGACACGCAGCGCGCGGCCTTCACGGCCGGGGGCCGAAGGATTTTCTTCCTTTAGGCCGGGGCGAGCTCAGATGAGCTCGGTTCGTGCTAGTGCAGCCCCAACGGCAGGGGACGTTGGGCCCTGCTCATCCCGGGAAATTGCCCAGAAGGAGAGATTTGAGGAGAAAAACGGAGAGGCGTGGACATGGGATTCATCCCGAAGGGTATCTCCAGATGTCTGGCTGCTGATCTTCTGACATCCAGCACTTTGCTATTGCCTGGCTGCTGGAAAGCTTTCCAAAGGAATCGATGCCATTCCCGTTGCTCGGAGTGTTTAATCCTGTGCTGAAGAAAGTTTTAGTGAAAATACTGTAGGAAGCAGTAGTGACAAACTGTTGGCTTAGGTAAACTAACAGGCATTGTCTGGCTCCGGTTTATTCTTACAAGCTCTTTTAGTGCAACCGTAAGCCTCAGGGCAGTGTTTATAAACAGCGCACTGTCACTAGTAATATACGGGCCTGGCTGACAAAGCCGGTAATCTCTTTAATACTTGTAATTATTCCTTGCTTCAACTGATTTTTTTTTTAAATAATGCTCATTAGAGTCCAGCCTGCTCAGCACTGTGGAGGAGGAATTATCTGCAGTGGGGATCTCTCCGAGCGGACGGGGGTCCTCGGGGGACGGTGCCGTGCCGTGGGGGTGTCCTGGGGGACGTGGGAGACGTGCGGGCACCCGCGAGTCCTGGGGCTTGTCCTGGGGCTGCCAGTGCCACCCGTTCAGGGAGCGAAGAAATCCGAGAGGCTCTTTCTGCCGGTCGCCGAGGCTGGGGTGCAGCGGGCCAGACGGGGTTGGGGAGGGCGGGTGGGCAGCCCGAAGGGGTCGGACCTTGCTAAGCTGCCATTGCATTTGAGCGTTCATGGCCTCCGAAAGAGATGCCTACCTCTAACCGAACTTATCCTTGCTTAATCTTTTCTTTTTTTCCTGCTCTGCTGCTTTTTTGTGTTCTCAGAGGAAGGAGGAATGCGCGAACGAGAAATCAGGTATTTACTGGAGGCCCATCTATGAGACGGAGTAAATTAACCAGAGAGATGCAACTGTACTCTACTGGAAAAACAGCCAAACAAAGGCCCTAAGGAAAATAAATGTCCACTTAGGCAGTCGGACACGGCTCATGTTCCCCCTTGAGCTCCTTATGCAAGGGGCCTGGAGAGAAGCAGCTTTGAAACAAAAGCCAAAACTCATCACAGGTTCAGATACAGGCAGTTCATTTCACACACTGGTGTTTTGGTTTGTTTTTTTTTTTCTTTTTTAGCATCTGCTGACAATGGCTCTTTCTTTAGGTGGAAATATTGTTGTAAGCTCTGTTACTGGAAGCTTACTTCATCAGATAGGTATAGTGCAAGTTTTATTTTGGCTCAGCATTACACCTTTGAAACGGAATAGCTGTGATCCAGTTGCATCAGTCCCCTGTCTCAACCAGATAGTGAGCAGCAGCCTTTCACATGCTCTAGTGAAAGCTTGTTTTGTGCATAATTGACTGCACATACTATATTCAGCACTTTTTGATGGCTTGATGTGTGTAATGCCTCCTTTTCTTGCCTGTCCTCTCACTAAACTCAATAGCACTGATCTTCAAATCTCTGTTTTCGCAATCTTTAATGCATTTCCTGTGCTTTGTTATCAATAAACCAGTAATTTTTTACTTTTTCCTTTCTGTTCATGAAGGATTCAGGACAGGCTATTCCGCTTGTAGTAGAAAGCTGCATTCGTTACATCAATTTGTACGGTAAGTTGATTCAGTAATATCAACAAAACCTTTCTGCCAAGGAAATTAAGTACCTGTAGTTAGCAGTGAAGTATAGCAGAGATTCCTGCAGGCCTTGCTACGTGGTCTCAAGTTGTAATTACAGTGGCATTGACTGTGATGTAGCATTGGATGACTGGCAAATATTTAGGTCTTGTTAGCCCTTACTCAAGTTCAGTTGTTCGCTCAGGCCCCAAGCCAACGGGAACCCTTTCAGCGCTTTGCTCTGGGGGACCTTGACTGGAGAATGTGAGCAGAAATGAGTCGTAGCAAGCTGTCCCCTTCATGCTCTGCGCATTTCTGGGTGCATCAACCCCTAGTTTCTGCTGTTCTTTACCAGAAAGTGCTGTGTGACAGTTACAGAAATCTGTTCTAAAAGGTTGTTCTTTTCTAGGCCTTCAGCAGCAGGGCATTTTCAGAGTCCCTGGCTCCCAGGTGGAAGTCAACGACATCAAGAATTCCTTTGAGAGAGGTGTGTTGCCAGGGTGTGAGGCTGCAGCTGGGGTGCCGTGTCCCGGCAGAGATCGTTGGTGGGGGTTGCAGTGTGTGCTGGGTGCATTAGACATTGTGTAAAGCCTGTGCTAAAGGCCTTTCTGCTACGAGACACGAGGAGGTTTTCTCCCCTTCTAGGTGTCTCGGTATTGCATGTCCAGCAATAGCAGAGAGTCACTTAGGGAAAGAGTATGAGAAGTAAGGGTAGGTGCAGAGACCTTTTCCGCAGTCATTAATTAAGAGCGTAAAAGCCTCAGCCATAAACCAGTTTGCTGGGGATCCCTATCCTGCTTCCTGCAGCGGTTTGTCAAGGGAGGAGCAGCATTGCCACGTGTACCTGGAGGCAGTGTTGGTTGTGGAGCTGCCCCTGCTTCTGTTGAGAAAATCCCATGGCAGGTGCAAGGCTGGCAAGAGGGGGCAGAGCAATCCTGCTGGCACGGAGCGAAGGTGAAGCTGTGAAAGGGACGGTGCAGGTGGGGGTAGCGGCCCCCCTGGCGTTAATCTCTGAGCAGCCTCGGAAGGATCGGGGTGAGGGTGGCCAGGCCAGCGAACGCAGCAGTGGTGGGACTGTCAAAGGCTGGAGGGTTTGGACATCCGGTGTAAGAGGAATCTGTGTCCAAGTCCCTTAGGTTTTGAAAGCCCTGATCTAAGTTGGTACAATGTTATCCAGAACCATTCAGTCTATTCCAGAGGCATAATTGCATCCTCCAGCCAAGCCTGTCTGCTCAGGCTTTCACCCACCACCCTTTAGATCTGCTCAGCTCTCTGAGCTGTTGCCTTAAATGCAAAAATGCACTGGGCTGGAAACTGTGAAAGAGAGCCAATTAATAACATCTTCAGGAAAGGTTTAAAATCTCCACAATAAACTGGGGTTTTGTAGGGGGGGCTATAGCACGTCTCAGCACGATGCCGTGTAACAGAATACCTTATTAAAATCTCCTCTTGCTGGCAAAATGCATAGCATTACCAGTGCACACACTCTTCTGAGCTGGGGGAAATTTGGGGTTTCCACTGAGTTAGGAAAAAACACTTGCTGTCCTAGTCTGACTTGACAGTAATGCTGGAAATAAAAACTCTTCTCTGGGCAGGTGAAGATCCCCTTGCTGATGATCAAAATGAACGTGACATTAATTCAGTGGCTGGAGTCTTGAAGCTGTATTTCCGAGGACTGGAAAACCCACTCTTTCCCAAGGAAAGGTTTCAAGATTTGATATCTACTATAAGTAAGTACATGTGGCAGCTCTTCTCAGAGAATAGGATGGGACAAGAGAAGCAATAAACGGGGAGCAAGTACCCATGAGTTTTGCAAATAGCAGCGTGTGCTGTGAGAAGGGCTGTAGGTCTGCAGTGGAAGTTGTTAGGAAAAGACGTTACGAGCGTGCATTGGCCACGCTGGAGGGGAGGGAGAGATAAAACATCTTGCTCTGGCTCTTTTAAAATCCTCCCAGCATCACGAGGACCGCCAGAGTGCTCTCCAAGTGCAGGCCCGCGGGCTGCACGTGCAGCAAGCCTGGGCACACGTCTGTGGGTTGTGTGAGGGGTCATTAGCTGCTCGAACAGGGCCGGGCGCTGTCCTGCCTGCTCGGATCTCTGTGGGCAACGGAGAGGCACCCAGCGGGGTTTTGCTGCTTTGGCTCAGCACCTGCTACTAAACATAGTGAAGGTCAAGAACTCCTGGCTACTTAGAAAGCTTCTTCAACCCTTGACTCTGCAGACGTGGTTTCAGCTCCACTCGATCAGCGGTTCTCCACGTGTTTGCTATGTGCATTTCCCGTCCCAAAGAAAACCGGAAAGTGCTTTGGGATATGAGCAGAGGTGGAAGCTGACGGGTTTTAATCAGGAAGGTCTGGGATCGATGTCAGGGAGAGCCTGGTCGCTTCTTGTTCTGTCCCGAATTCTCCTTCCAGCTCCACAACTGAAGAAACAGATATCCCAGCTGGGCTTTATTTCTCTCAGTACCTTGTAGTGATGACATTTATTTATTGGCAAGTCATGGAAAGTACTCCCTTGGGGCAAAGGAAGAAGACAGAATGAATGTGATGTTTCAGAGATGATGGAGGAGCATGTTGTGCACTTTGGCTACAGGATGACTTTATTTTACAGGAGAGGCGTCGGGGTTGTTTGGGGTTCAAGTGTCTCAGTACGTGGGTAGCTTTCGGGGGAGCGACTGTGAACATGTGCTGAAGTCCTTTGTTCAGCTTTCCCTGCTCAGGGCTCCTTCCCCACTTCTTAACGTGCGTGACTGCGAGAGATTTAGGGATGTCAAGAAAGACAGACGATAGCTAGAGGGGAGTGACACAGGGATGGGCTTGTTCCAGAAGGAGAAGAATGTGCTCTTATTTTTCAAGAACAGTTGTTTTCTGTAGTAGCTTTAGGAAAGTCACCATTGCTTTTCAATTTTGATGTGTTAGACGGTGCAGCACACCTGTAACATGGCAAACGAAGCTGTTCCTGCACCAGTTTCGTGCCCCGGCCAGGGATTTTTAGCCTGACTTGCCCTGCTCACTCCGGCTGCCCTCCCCGAGGGGCTCACAGCAGGCAGAGCAGGGACCCTCAGGAGGCAGAGCCCGCAGAGAAGGGGACAGGTGCCCTTTTGTGCCAGGAAATGTGCCTGGTGCTTGGTGGTGTGACTGTGCTTGCAGATGGGCTTGTGCTTTGAAACCCTCCCTAATTAATGCCAATTTGCACAATTTGTTAAGCTTTTGGGAGCTTTTCATTGCAAACATCATCTGCTGGTTTGCTGGATAGTATTCTTGTATATATTGTTTCTCATTTCAGCAAGCATTTTCCTTATCTTCATCTTTCCTTTCTTATCCAGCTGCTGTTGCTGCCTTTTGATCAAGGGCAGATTTGAAATGAAGTGCTGACTTTCTGCCACATAAACGCAGGCTGTCTGTGATAGGTGTCCCAACCTAAACAGACTGGAGGAACCTTCTCTCTTTGAGAAACGCTGCTCAGGAAGATGCCACCTTTGCTCTCAGACGCTTTCTCTCATTTGGAATTACGGCAGAAAGGTTGAAGGCAGCTGAGCGGTTTGGGCTCTGCACCGCACTGCGTCCCAAAGCCGCCTCGCTCCGCTCTCTCCCGGTGAGGCGCTCGCTCCCGGTGAGGCGCTCGTTCCCGGTGAGGCGCTCGCTCCCGGTGAGGCGCTCGTTCCCGGTGAGGCGCTCGCTCCCGGTGAGGCGCTGTCTCCTGGTGAGGCGCTCGTTCCCGGTGAGGCGCTGTCTCCTGGTGAGGCGCTCGTTCCCGGTGAGGCGCTGTCTCCCGGTGAGGCGCTCGCTCCCGGTGAGGCGCTGTCTCCCGGTGAGGCGCTGTCTCCTGGTGAGGCGCTCGTTCCCGGTGATGCGCGCTCTCCCGGTGAGGCGCGCTCTCCCGGTGAGGCGCTCTCTCCCGGTGAGGCGCTGTCTCCCGGTGAGGCGCTCGTTCCCGGTGAGGCGCTCGCTCCCGGTGAGGCGCGCTCTCCCGGTGAGGCGCTGTCTCCCGGTGAGGCGCTCGTTCCCGGTGAGGCGCTGTCTCCCGGTGAGGCGCTCGTTCCCGGTGAGGCGCTCGCTCCCGGTGAGGCGCTCGCTCCCGGTGAGGCGCGCTCTCCCGGTGAGGCGCTGTCTCCCGGTGAGGCGCGCTCTCCCGGTGAGGCGCGCTCTCCCGGTGAGGCGCGCTCTCCCGGTGAGGCGCTCTTTCCTGGTGAGGCGCGCTCTCCCGGTGAGGCGCTCGCTCCCGGTGAGGCGCTCGCTCCCGGTGAGGCGCTGTCTCCTGGTGAGGCGCTCGTTCCCGGTGAGGCGCTGTCTCCCGGTGAGGCGCTCGTTCCCGGTGAGGCGCTGTCTCCCGGTGAGGCGCTCGCTCCCGGTGAGGCGCTGTCTCCCGGTGAGGCGCTGTCTCCTGGTGAGGCGCTCGTTCCCGGTGATGCGCGCTCTCCCGGTGAGGCGCGCTCTCCCGGTGAGGCGCTCTCTCCCGGTGAGGCGCTGTCTCCCGGTGAGGCGCTCGTTCCCGGTGAGGCGCTCGCTCCCGGTGAGGCGCTCGCTCCCGGTGAGGCGCGCTCTCCCGGTGAGGCGCGCTCTCCCGGTGAGGCGCTCTTTCCTGGTGAGGCGCGCTCTCCCGGTGAGGCGCTCGCTCCCGGTGAGGCGCTCGCTCCCGGTGAGGCGCTGTCTCCTGGTGAGGCGCTCGCTCCCGGTGAGGCGCGCTCTCCCGGTGAGGCGCTCGCTCCCGGTGAGGCGCGCTCTCCCGGTGAGGCGCGCTCTCCCGGTGAGGCGCTCTCTCCCGGTGAGGCGCTCTCTCCCGGTGAGGCGCTCGCTCCCGGTGAGGCGCTCGTTCCCGGTGAGGCGCTCGCTCCCGGTGAGGCGCGCGCTCCCGGTGAGGCGCGCGCTCCCGGTGAGGCGCTGTCTCCTGGTGAGGCGCTCGCTCCCGGTGAGGCGCTCGCTCCCGGTGAGGCGCGCTCTCCCGGTGAGGCGCGCTCTCCCGGTGAGGCGCTCGCTCCCGGTGATGCGCGCTCTCCCGGTGAGGCGCGCTCTCCCGGTGAGGCGCTGTCTCCTGGTGAGGCGCTCGCTCCCGGTGAGGCGCTCGCTCCCGGTGAGGCGCTCGCTCCCGGTGAGGCGCTCGCTCCCGGTGAGGCGCTGTCTCCCGGTGAGGCGCTGTCTCCTGGTGAGGCGCTCGTTCCCGGTGATGCGCGCTCTCCCGGTGAGGCGCGCTCTCCCGGTGAGGCGCTCTCTCCCGGTGAGGCGCTCGCTCCCGGTGAGGCGCTCGCTCCCGGTGAGGCGCTGTCTCCTGGTGAGGCGCTGTCTCCTGGTGAGGCGCGCTCTCCCGGTGAGGCGCTCTCTCCCGGTGAGGCGCTCGCTCCCAGTGAGGCGCTGTCTCCCGGTGAGGCGCGCTCTCCCGGTGAGGCGCGCTCTCCCGGTGAGGCGCGCTCTCCCGGTGAGGCGCGCGCTCCCGGTGAGGCGCGCTCTCCCGGTGAGGTGCTCGCTCCCGGTGAGGCGCTCGCTCCCGGTGAGGCGCTGTCTCCCGGTGAGGCGCTGTCTCCCGGTGAGGCGCTCGCTCCCGGTGAGGCGCTCGCTCCCGGTGAGGCGCTCTCTCCCGGTGAGGCGCTCTCTCCCGGTGAGGCGCTCTTTCCCGGTGAGGTGTTGTGGGCGAGGTTTTGGCAGCGGGAGCCACCGTGTGTGTCGCAGGGCCGCTGAGCACCCCTCGAAGCTGCAGGGCCGGGTGGTTCCCTGCCGATGGGGTGGGGGAGCCAGGCTGCTGGGGGCAGGCGAAAGGCTGGCTCTTTTGTGTACAGGTGGTGAGAGTTCGCGTTGAAACGTTTCTCAAAGGCACATGAGAAATAGATGGATTGAAAAGGCACTTTGTTTGCAAAGGTTCGTTCAGGGGAGTGCCTGCATTGTAGAGTGATTGATGATTACTCCATTAATTCCCCTGAATTGCAGCCAGTTGAAACATTTTGCTAAGTGAAAAAGTGCCTTAAGACAATTTGTTCCTCGAATAAACGGCAGCTCAGCTACATGTTGTCAGTGAATTTTATTATGACTAGCAAATGTCAAAGTCTGAGCCAGCATAGTAGAGTAAGCATCTCTTCCATGCATCTGAAGCCAACTGCTCTCAGGAAAGCTTTGATACTCTTTGTCTGCTTTCTGTAAAATAAAAGCCACAGGATTAACCCCCTACATAATATATTGAGCAGCCACTGACCCTGTACGGTGCTGAGCCCGCTTGGCGGGCTGGGCCTGGAGCGGGGTTCCCGCAGCGCTGCGGGTGAAGGGGGCAGCTGTGGGGGGGCTGCGGGGGGGCTGCAGGGGGGCCATGGCACCCTGTGGCTGTGGGGGGCTGTGGGGGGGCTGCAGGGGGCTGTGGCACCCTTTGGCTGCAGGGGGGCTGTGTGGGGTCTGCAGGGGGCTGCGGCACCCTTTGGCTGCATGGGGCTGTGGGGGGGCTGCAGGGGGCTGCGGCACCCTTTGGCGGAGGGGGGGCTGCCGGAGGGGGGGGCGGGCAGTGCAGCAAGGTGGCTCCAAGTCACCCTCCTGCCTCCAGAGAAGCTGGTTTCCGATAGCAGCGATGGGCGCTGTGCGCTGCTGTGGGGAGAAGTGAATCTTCAAGTGCTGACTCGCAATGGGTTCTGATTAAATTCCTGGTAAAACCAGGGGGAGACTGGAGCAGCAGGGCTCAGAAGGGCCCGATGGTTAACTTGGGTAACTCAAAACCTGCACTAGGAAACCAAGGGGTGCTCCGTTTTCCAGTGCCACACTGACTCGGGCTTGTGAGAAATAGAGTGGTTGTTGAGGAATGAACTAAATAATGCATAAATAGTTATTCTGAAAATGAAACCGTGGAAATGCCTTCATTTGCTGTTTATACTGAATCTGAACATATGTATGAATTCACCCATGGAAGAGCACTGTGCCCGATTCTCTGCTTGCGCCTTAGTGCCAAACCAGTGGCTCAAACCTGGAAACGGGCTATTGTTTTCCTTGCATAGTGGGCTCCTAGATCTGGAGCAAGTCCCTCTGGTGCCACGTGGTCTGGTCCTGAGAAGGTTTAAAGATGTGCTTTCTGTCCGTGTGTTCCAGAAATCGAGAACCCCACGGAGAGAGTACACCAGATCCAGCAAATCATCATCACTCTGCCTCGGGCTGTCATCGTTGTCATGAGATATCTTTTTGCTTTCCTTAATCAGTGAGTCTTGGGTTTTTTGCTCTTTCACTGAGTTTCTCCTTGCCCTCCTTTTTTTTCAGGGCTTCCTTGTCTTTGTTGCATGACTCCTTTTTGGCATTGCCACGGGCAGTTGTGTTTTGCTGCTTCCTCAGCCTTGCCTAGCCATGGCTGTGTGCCTGGGGAAGGCGTGCAGCTCCGTGACCATTGCTTTCCTGGGTGCTGGGGGTTTGTTGGTGGGAGATTTTTCTGAGCGAACGGGGAAAGTCAGCCCCTTCCCTCCCTAACGCTTGTGCTTGCAGCTTGTCGCAGTACAGCGATGAGAACATGATGGATCCCTACAACCTGGCCATCTGCTTTGGGCCCACGCTGATGCACATTCCAGATGGGCAGGATCCGGTGTCCTGCCAGGCCCATGTCAACGAGGTCATCAAAACCATCATCATTAACCACGAGGGCATCTTCCCCAGCCACAGAGAGCTGGAAGGACCTCTCTATGAGAAGTGCATGACCGGAGGGGAGGAGTACTGGTAAGGAGCGGGGACAGGACTTCACTGTTTGCAGAACTTAAGGCCAGATCCCCTTGCTGGGGTTATCTTCCGGCACTGTACGTTCAGAGCGAAGCCGTGACAAAGTGCAGAGCTTTGCCTTGATTCCTGACACACAGGACTGGCCCCACTCACATGAGTGTAGGAGAAGGGATCTCGGGAGCAGATCCCCCGAGGATGGGCCGTGAGGAGAGCTTTGGGGAAGTTCAGACTTAATATTCAGGGCAGCCGAGCACAGCACTGGGGTGAATTTGCCCCTCTGCAGAAAAGCGGCATGCTTTTTTGCATTTATCCCTGTTCAATGCTATGAATTAGGAGTGCAAGTGATATATATATGATATGCTTGTGCTGTTTGACACTGCTGGTTAAGAATCTGATGCCACACCAGGCTGTCTGCATGGTTCTTCATTATAAATACCTTCATAAAACTAGGAGGACTTTGCACACCTAACCAGTTAGTCTCTACTTATATACATCGGTTTTGCTTTTGAGTTTAGCCTTGCCAGTTAAAAAGAGTAGGCAGTTTCACTGAGTATTTCTTTCTTACGCTGACTCAGCATTATAAACCTCAGTAAAAACTTCAGGAGAACCTTTTTTCCAGTATGAATATTAATATTTATGAAGATTCTTTTAGCTGCAGATTCACAGAAGTGTGTTCAGAGCAGAGCAGAATTTTAGGTCAATTCCAAATTCCTTCTAGGTTGGAATTTTTGAGTAAAGTCCCATTTGCTAGTTGGATGAAGTCCCTTAGCCCAAAGTGAACCTGACCATTCCAGTTCCTGTCAGTGTTAGAAGACGGATGAGTTTGTGTTAGCTGTGGATGGGATCAGCCGCGTGCGATTGCATTGCATCCTGTCTTTCTGGTGCACAATTTGCCTGACTTGGTACACCCAGGGTAGGAAAACTCCGTCAAAAAACTCCACATTAGAAGTGTAAGTGGTACTACACACTTGTCTGGAGGATGCTGGAATTCTAAACCGACATTCAGATCTGAATTTTAACAAATCAGTATTTATAAGAGCCTTGAACTGATTTTTGTGCAAGTTTTACACACTTTTGAGACCTAACCTTCCCTGATGCTCATCACCTGCCACCATCCTTACTGGTGCCAGTGGAAGATAAAATGCGAAAACTCACTGTGAATGAGTGAGGGGCACACTTAAACTTGGTATGACTTTATATTCGTTTTGCCAAATATGAGTAAGACCCATGAGCAACAGAACGTGATGTTCTGTGCCTGAGGATCGCGAGTGTCTGCTGCTCCCAAAGCAAGTTCAGAGATCTGCTGTGGTTTAAAATGACCATCTCGGTCCTATGAGGAACTAAAAACGCAACTCTCAAGTATCACTGGGGCCAGAATTTCCCTCAACAACCGACTTTTGCTAAGTGCCTTAGGAGCAGAATCTCGGTCTGTCTTTGAAAGCGCGGTGTGTTGCATTTCAGCGACAGCCCGCACAGCGAGCCAGGCACCATCGATGAGGTTGACCACGACAACGGCACGGAGCCGCACACCAGCGATGACGGTGAGCGCAGGCGGGAGCAGCGGGCGGTTGGGGCTGGGTTGGCCGAGCTGTGCGTGGGGGAGAGCAGCGGGCGCTTCACTCCTGGTCAGAGTAGAGGCTGCCCCAGTGTCTGGCGCTCCAGTGCGGGATGCTGGGTTTGTGTGCTTAGTAAGGAGCATCCATATTAATCAATGTCGCGTGCAGGTTTGCCCCACGGGCTGTACGTGGACCGTCCGTGGCAGGATACAGGGCTTGGTTTTGCGGAGCTGTTCTAAGAAATTCCACTGACCCCATATACGAGTCTTTTTTTCCTTTGTCATCTGCTCTTACGTGCAGCCACGTGGTGGTGAGGACGCGCTGTGTGAAGTGGCTCACGAGAACAGGAGGGGAGATGGGGGCTGGCATGGGGGGGCCAGTTCTGTTTGCTCCAGGCCCTTGGATGCACCAGTGAAGGTCAGTGGCCCCGCTGGGGCCCTCTGAAGTGAGGAGGTCTTTCAGCTGATTTCCTCAGGCCGTGGATCAGCCCCTGTTGAGCAGCCTTCTCCCTGGCAGAAGCTGAATGCCCCTGTATTTGAACGAGCTGCAGCCTGGTTTTCCCCACAGGCGGCTCTGTTTCCTTCAGTGACAAAGCACCCGCCTGCTCGTTTTTGCTCATGTCAGGCCCGTGGAGCTGTCTGGCTTTGGAGGGCGAAGCAGGGTGTGTTGTGAGCCAGGACCGTGCGGATGGGTGCAGCCGGGTGTGAATCCCTTGCAACTGGGTGCATCATCCGTGTTGTGCAACTCGCGGGAGGAGGCTCAGGTCCCGCGTTCTGTAAGCTCCTGCCTGGCTGCACGTCTGTGTAAACCAGCTCGGAGCATCTAAAAGCTGCAAAGCTCACGGCGATCACAAAGGCAGGCGTGGAAACGGGGGTCCTGGCAGAACTGGGCAAGAAAGAAGCGTGTTCTCTCCGGGACGCGGCACCGAAGCAGGGGGAAGCGCTTCGCTGTGCTTCCTGCGCCCTGGAGCCACTGGCACCGCGGCCACGGGGCGGGTCCGGGACACCCCACGGCACCGTCGGATGGCAGGACTTTGCTGAATGCCTCTCCTGCTTTCCTGATGGCTGCGGTTTCCCTGGATGTGTCCGGCCCCGCGGAAGGCTGGCAGGAGGCCGGAGGGCTGGCGTGGTGGGGAGGAGGGGAAGGGCGCAGCTGGGCTGGACAGCTCGGGACCTGCTTTCAGCTACCGACAGGAGCCCACGGGACTAGGAGATGAAGCTGCCATTTAGCCAGTTTTATGCTTGTGCGGTCACATTAATAGCTCTGATTGGAGTTTCTGCGTGATTAACTGTGGTGCAAGTGTAGAGAAGAGGCTTAGCTTTATTTTGTGAACTTACATACTCCTTTTTCCCCGCACCCTGCCTGCTGGGAAACTCAGTATTTTATCAGGGCTGTGAAAGCCGTCCTGGTAGCCTCCCCCACTACATTTCCTCTGTGTGGATTTTGTCACTGAGCAGTGACAGGTCGCATCCTGAGCGCTGCTGATGCCGAGCCTGCGGTTAGTGCCGAGGCAGACGGAGCAGAGCGAGTTTCAGTGTTTTAATGAGAACGTGACAGATCTGGAGGAACTGGGCGGATTTGCCCCGTTTGGCTTTGTGATCGCCCGTCTGCCAGTCTCCAGGTGGGGTTTAAAATGATCGGGTATCTCAAGTAATCAAGTTATATTAACTGCTTGCGTGCTGGCTCCAAGAGCGGCTCGAGGTGGTCGAGTGGTGGCAGCCTGCTTTTTCACCCCTGTCTCAGAGCAAAGTGAGGTGGAGTGCGGTTTGCTCCTGCCAGTGCAGAGAGAAACGCTGTCGCCGCCTTGCAATCGCTGCAGCGGTTTCTCTGGGATTCAGTGCTCCCAGCTGGAAACAGATTTGCAGAAGAGCTGGGCTCCTCCACGGGCTCCTCAGTTCCAACCAGGCTCCTCTTTGGGCGCAGCAGCAGCTCCCACGGTGATGCCCTTGGCCGGGGGCTCAAAGGCTCCTGGTGTGCTCACAACCTCCCGCAGTGAAGTCCTGCCTCAGCCCTCCTGAACTTCAGGCCCTGAGTTCCTGATCTGTGAATCCCTGGCGTTTGGTAGAACTTCAGTTAGAAAAAGTGGCGGAGTGATGAAGTTGGGGTGCTGGGAGGTCTGCAGATGTGGGGGGGTGATGCGGAGCAGCTGCCTGGCCAGAGCCGGTATCACTGTTTCTATGGGGATCCCCAAAGGGGGATTCATTACTCCTCAGTAATTCAGGCCAAACTGTCTCCAGGATAAGGAAAGGGAGAGAAGGTAAACAGGGCTTTGATCACAGTATCTGACGCAGCTTAACAAGATCCCGGTCTGGAGGATAATGGGGTTCTGTAACTGAAGAAATCCCTTTATAGGTAGAAAATGGGAGTGCGAGTGATGGTGCCATATGGACGCAGGGAAATGTCGACTATTTCCCATCTGGTTTGTAGCTTTTTGTAATTTCTGGTAGTTTGCAAGTCTGTGAGAAATTCCGGAAAGGCTAGAAGAGCAAAATGAATTGATGAGTCTAAAAATAAGATGGTTTGTCCTCAGTGTAAGATGCTCTCGGGAAGCTAGCGCAGCGGCGTTAGTGCTGTTCTGGTGAGATGCCTCTTTCTAGGATTTACTGTGCCCCTGTGATTGTTGAACTAAGCTTTTCTCTGCCTGTGCTTCTCTCCTTTGCAGAAGTGGAGCAGATTGAAGCCATAGCAAAGTTTGACTATGTTGGACGAACTCCGCGAGAGCTCTCCTTTAAGAAGGGGGCCTCGCTCCTCCTGTACCACCGCGCATCGGAAGACTGGTGGGAGGGGAGACATAACGGTGTGGATGGCCTCATACCCCACCAGTACATCGTGGTGCAAGACATGTGAGTGAAGCGCCGTGTGCTGATCCAAGGTGTTAAAATAACATAATTACGTGAGGTTCATCTTTAGCCGTCTAAAATAGGTGGTCAGATTTCCCCAGGCTTAATGACTTTGGTGAGAAAGCTGGACCTGTTCGCTTCTGCCTCTCCATGTATTGGCTCAGACTGTTTCTTGTTCAAGCTGACAAAGCCAAGCACTAAATACTCTGCCTCAGGGTGCCCGCGCCCCATCTAACATTGGCTCCTCCGAGTGGCATGACCCAGGCTTAATATTGGCCTGGCCCCCTCTGCACGTTGCCCTGGCATTGCTCAGTGGCCCCAGGGTCCTTCGTGGGTGCCACTTCTGTTACAAGGACTGTTCCCAGAGTCATTAAAGTGGCAGCTACAGCGCAGGGGGGCATGGAGACGCCATGGTCGCTTTTTCCAAGCTCCGGGTGCTGTCTGAAGTGGTGGCCTTGGTCCAGCCCTTCGTTAACAAAGTCCGGAGCTGGTGCAGTGGTGATGCTCAGATGCTGGTTGTGGCTGGGCCCTCTCCTGGGGCAGAGCCCCGTTGCTGATGGGGGTCTCCTTTTCTTAGGGATGATGCGTTCTCCGACAGCCTCAGCCAGAAGGCAGACAGCGAGGCAAGCAGCGGGCCGCTGCTGGATGATAAAGCCTCCTCCAAGAACGACATCCAGTCTCCGACGGATCATATTGTGGACTATGGCTTCGGCGGAGTGATGGGCCGGTAGGGAAACTCTCATTTTCCTGAGAACACAGAGGTGGTCGCTGTCACACGCGGGGAGAGTCAGCGTGTGGTGTAGGGCAAGGCAGAAGGGAAGGCTCCAGCAAGCACTGCAGAATAATACGAGCATGGAGCGGGTTTTCACGTGCATTGCTAATGTAGATCTTAACAAGTAAAGAAGGTACAATGCTGTCCCTTTCTTGGCGCTGGCTATAATGTCTGTCTTCCCTCTTGCCTTACTCTTCTGGAGCCGAAAGGCTCGGGTTTGGTTTGATCTGAACTCTCAGAGCCGAGCAGTTGTCTTACAGCATGCAAGCAGACGCTTTCGGTCTGACGGACGGTGACCTAGTCTTGTGATGGATTCTTTGCAGAGTGAGATTGAGGTCTGACGGCGCAGCTATCCCTCGCCGTCGAAGCGGGGGGGACACCCACAGCCCGCCCCGAGGGATGGGTCCTGGCATAGACACTCCTCCTCGAGCAGCGGCCTGCCCTAGCAGCCCCCACAAAATACCTCTTAACAGGGGCAGGATTGAGAGTCCCGAAAAGCGCAGAATGGCGACATTCGGCAGTGCAGGCAGCATCAATTTCCCAGACAGGAAGGCCTTGTCTGATGGCCACCCGCTGAGACCGGCCTGTGGATCGACTAGACACAGTAGTCTCGGAGATCAGAAATCTCTAGAAGCAGAAGCGCTTGCTGAGGTAAGAGGGTTGTGAAGTGGCTCTCGGTGCCCAGGGATCGAGAGGCTAAAACAGAAGTCACTTGGGTAGCACCGCAGGGCCCCTTCCGTCTCAGTGCACTTCAGAATTACAGTGCTGTTGTAGCTGCGGTGGTTTAAAGATAAAAATGAGCAGCCAACAGCTTGCCTGCTTTGCCAGCTGTACCAGCTGGTCTGCTAAAAGATAATGCCTCCTTCCACAAACCTCGTTTCTTTCAAACAATGGACAGAAACGTTCGATCCGCCACCAGAACGCACTGGCAGCTCTTCCCTTCCCACAGGGGGGGAAGCGCGTTATCTTCATCTGTTGCTCCATAAGGAGCTTAGATGGAGGAAACTGCATTTGCCAGATCGGAATTTGGTGCTCAGTGCTTGTCTGGAGACAAGTGCTTCAGGTTTTTGTGACCGGCTGCTTGTAGCTGGGACCTCAGAACGTTACTCTAACCCCAGTATGACACCTCCAGCCACGCAGCCGTCGGTTCCACGGCGTTACCCCCAGCCCAGCCTGCAGGTCCGCTCTCCCTGTCGCTGGCCGGAGGCCCCCTGCCCGGGACCGGCCAGGTTCTGCCCAGCCCGTTCACACCTCGGGGAGCGCTCCCTTCACGGAGCAGGCTGCAGAATTCTCCAGCCTCTCGGGGACCACGCAGTCGAGGCCCGATCCCCGCCGGCGTGTCGGAAGGGCTGGGCCGGGCGCGCCGCGGCCAGGCTGCTCGGCGTGCCGCTCCCAGCAGCTTCCCGGCCGTTTGCTTCGTGCCGGCTCCGGCGCGAGCAGTGAGACGGTGCCCGGCCGGGGGGTGCAGCTGGTGGGGAGGCTGGTGCCCACCGCCCACCAGCTGCTCCTGTGCCGCGGGGCTTGGCGGGCCGGCTGACCTAGCATCGGCTGCGTCCCGTGGGATAATTCATGGCGACTGCGGAGAGGAAGAGCTCTTCCTGTCCTGTTTGCTTTTCCACCAGCCACGCTCCTTGTTCTCTTGCTGTGCGGCACGCTACCCAGCTTCTCTGTCCATCGAGAGCTTGCCTTTGGCGCGACCAGTCTTCCAAAGCCGCGGCGCGTGCCCCGGGCGATGGCTCGAGCTGGGGCACCCACGTCCACCTTGGGACGGGATCGCGGCGTGCACGCCGTCCCCGTGCTGGGCCGGTGGGCAGCAGCCTGGCACCCCCCGGCAGTGCCCGCGGACGCCTGCCCGAGGGCTGCGGGGTCCGGGAGCCTCCGGAGGGGTGGGTGAATGCTGAGGGTGGAGCACGACGTGCACTGGTTTTTTGGCTTTCGGGTTGTTTTTTCTAGACCTTGAAAAAGATTCTCGCTCAGCCGCTGTAAATAATCACTTATCTTGGAGCCTGTAGGACTGCTGGACGTGGTAGTCCTGAGGCTTAGCTCTGGGAGAATATTTTCACTCGTTATCTGAACAGCTTAATAGAATTAAGTGGAGGTAACTTGATAATTATTTCCCTCCCGCTGGTCCTCTGAGCGTCATCTGAGGCTCACCGGGCGTTTTGTACGCATTATAAAATTAAGGACTTGTCTACGCAAGGACAGTGAGGAGGGTTAACTGGAGTTACTTTTTAAACAATCGATTCAGGTGCCTTGAATCACTTTTCAGATGGTCTCTTCCAGAGTTAGTGGCCTTAATTCAGTTAAGGCGGGTTTCCGTGAAGCCAAGCTAGGGCCTCTCTGTTTCTGGATGTGACTCTCAGCACTGCCGTTGTAGGCGATTTAGAGAATTTCCTTTAAAGGGGCACTTCCAGTTGAATTGGGTTCGGGCTCTGGAGGATGCCCGCGGGCAGACGGGTGGAGGCCATGCCGGGGAGGCACGGCGCCAGGCCTTGCCCTGCCTCTCCCCTGGTGACGGTGAGCTGCCGTCGTGCTGCTGGCGCCGCAGCCAGCCCCACGCCATCCCGCCCCGCGCGCGCGGGGGCAGCCGAGGCCCCGGACGCCGGAGGGAGGCTGCAGGGACCCCCCCGTCCTGGGGAAAAACCAGCCGCAGCGCTGCGGGGGAGCGTGAAGGTGGCCTGTCTCGGCGGTGTGCGCCCCCTCCCTCGTGGTGCTCGGGGCTTTGCTCCCGCTGGAGCTGGCGACCAAACTCCCGCTGGCCTGGGAGACGTGGGGCGCGTTTGCGCAGCCAGAGTTTGGGCTCGACGTCTTCTCCCAGAGCTCCTGCTCTGCCTGGAGGCCGTGTCTTAGGTCAGAGACCCCCCCCCCCCCCACCACAGACACGCGTGCCAGGACGGGGGGGGCCCCTCCACGGGGCGGGGCGCAGGAGAGCGGGGCGGTGCCGCGTCACGGTGCTGACCTCCCTTTGTCTCTGGCGTTCGCAGGACATCGAGAAGACCATGAGCACGGCGCTGAACGAGCTGCGGGAGCTGGAGAGGCAGAACACGGCCAAGCAGGCCCCGGACGTGGTCCTGGACACGCTGGAGCCCATGAAGAACCCCCCGATGGGCGCCGCCAACTCGGAGCCCGCCAGCCCCCTCCACACCATCCTGATCCGGGACCCCGACGCGGCCATGCGGCGCAGCAGCAGCTCCACCACCGAGATGATGACCACGTTCAAGCCGGCCCTCTCGGCCCGGCTGGCCGGGGCCCAGCTGCGGCCGCCGCCGATGCGGCCGGTGCGGCCGGTGGTGCAGCACCGCTCCAGCAGCAGCAGCAGCTCGGGGGTGGGCAGCCCCGCCGTCACCCCCACCGAGAAGCTCTTCCCCAGCAGCTCGGCGGATAAATCGGGCACCATGTAGGCTGGGGCGCGGGGAGAGCCAGCGCCCCGGCGGTGGGAGCGGGGCCGGCAGCTCGGCAAAGCCGCGCTCGGCCGAGCGGGAGGTCCAAACCCTGCTCGAGAGGAGCCTCTCCAAAAGGGGAACAAGCGCGTCGCCTAGGCTTGATGGTTGATTGTACATACGTGTGTGTGTGTGTGTGCGTGCGTGTATGTACGTCTGTGTGCACACACACCCCCATCCATGCAGAAACACTTCCCAAGCTTGCGGTCCCACGGCAGGAGGAGACGGCCGGCTGGTCTACGTGTTGGCACTGGAGAACACACTCTATATGTAGAAGTATATATTAAAAAAAAAAAAAATTAAGTGTACAGAATTCGGTGGCTTTTTTAAAAAAAGTAGATTTACCTCAGAAACTGGCTCTGAAATGTCCTCGTTAGAGATGTCGGGTTGATTTGGGGTTTTTTTCCAGGCTGTTTGTGTGCGTGTTGTGCGTGGAAGTGCGTAGCAGCTGTGCGTTGAGCAATACAAGGCCAATCCTGGAATTTATTTTCTGCACCTCTCGGCATTTAAAAAAAAGAAGGCAGGGAGGGGGGAAGATACAGAGCGTTTTGTTCACTGCTGGCCTGTGGAGGAGAGCTGGAACTTCGTAAATGCCAGTGTGTGTCAGGGCGGCTGGAGCGCCTTTCCAAGCCGAATCCCGGGACGCCTTCGCGTGCGCTGTGGTTCCCCGGCCGGCGGCACCCGGCCCGAGCGGGGCCAGAGACCGAGGGGTGCTCCTTCGGCCTCGGGCAGGCAGGAGGACGCTGCTGCTGCTGCACGGGGCACGGTGCTGCCCTGCCTGCACCGCGGGGCCCACGGGACTCCGGTTTTCCTGAAGATTTCAGAATGGACGAGGACTAGTGACAAGCCTGTGGTAAAGCATAAGTAGAGTAACTTACACAGTTTTGAGGTGCTTCGTTTCCTTCTCACCACATGTTTCTTTATCTTTTTTTTTTTTTTTTTTTAAAAAGAAAAAAAAGCCCAACCTTAATGGTATCTCAACAGATGGGACTAAACAGACGAGGAGGCTTTGGTACAACAGCATTCCTTTATTTGAAGTTGCACAGCAGTACATGAGAGTCTTGATTCAGACTGCGTCTTCTTGCATGAAAAGAATGAGCCATATTTGACCATATCAGATGCGGAACCGATCTGATGGGGTGATACTTTGCACTTTCTGTACTGTACTATATAATACAACAGTTTGAGTTTATGCAAAAGAATCTACATTTTGTTTTTCCTCTGAACATTCAACCCAGAGAAAAAATATGCAGAAAGAGCTGGGGATTGCATGGTACTTTGATAATCGAGTCTCTTCTGTCAGCGCTGAATCCAAGACACTCTGTGCTTCTCCTGCAGTCGTTTTCTTCCTGCACAGATTTCCACGCAATGACCCGTGCTTTAATTCGGTCACTTCCACGTGATCACGTGCAGCCCCGGCGTGAAACGGGCCGTCGCGTGTCTCAGCAGCACGGAGGAGCCGCGCTCACGGCTCCGTCAAGTTCCCCTTTCCCTCCCGCTCTCTCCGATTTCGGCCGTTCCGTCTGTCCCGGGGCGAAGAAGCCACCGCTCCTCCTGCCTCCCCCCCGCAGCCTCCCGGCCCTGCCCGGGGGTTTTTTGTTGCTCTTCCCCCCAGCGCCGCTGCCGTGCCCGCCGGAGCAGCCCGGCCTCCCGAAGGCAGCGGGCGGCTGGGCCGGGGCCGTGCCCGGGGCACGAGCCCCCTCGCTTGCCCCCGCGCCCGCCCCGGCCGGGCTCTGTATATATCGCTGTACTCGCTGAAATGCTGGAAAGTAACTGTTCACTTGTAAACTGTACAAAAAATAGGCTAAGAGTAGATGAAAGCCAATGCCACTCACCAAATCTTTGCACTTAGTAGGTAGCTCAATGTAAAAATAAAACCCAATAATAATAATAATAATAAAATAAATGAAAAAACAAAGCCGCAAAGCTAACCTTTCAGTGTACAGTGGGGGAGAAGTACTGTATGTAGTGATTCTGTCATTGTTCCTCCGTATGATGCTGTAAGGGGAAATGGTATTTATGTACTTGTCTGTTAACATTGTTGACATTTGTAATTACCACAATTGGTTCATATTGATGTTTATTTTTCTTCATAATTTTTCCCCCCTTTCCTAACTTAGGCTAACCCTGAGGTCAATGCCTCTGTCATTGCGGGCAGCAGATGTTCAAACAGTCTGTCAGTCTGGTCGAGTAATGAACCAGCAAATGTGCTTTTAGGGGGAGGGAAGAAACCCATTTGGCACGAGCGCTGTGTATTCGTTGCCAGTATTTTTTTTTTTTTTTTTTTTCATTTAGTTCCTGGAGAACATTCACTTTGCCAGTCTTCTGGGTTTTTTTTAATATACTTTCGAAGATGACTTGATAGCAAAACCATTTTATTAGAGTTTTCTTCCCTTCTTACTTTTGAAGATACGGTACAAGTTCCAGCGTCTTTCTGTTAAATTATTGCCTTTCGTTTTCCTTTGTTTTGTTTTGTTGTGGGTTTTTAATACAATTGTTTTCTTATCTTTAAGTGCCTTTTTGAGCACCAGAACAAATGCTTGGAGTTAATGTCCTAGGAGCTGTACACATCATGATTTCCTTTGTACAGTTGCATTGTGCTGGGGGTGATTGCTTTTAAAGTCCTTTTGAATTTTTTTTTTTAAAGAAAACCAAGACATTTTGTTGAAGAGTAAACTACTACCCCTTTTTAATATGGTATTCAAATTGTAGTTTTAACTACTGTAAATTTAAGGGAAGAAATGTATTTTTCTGTAAGCTAGCTTGGCACAAAATTGAGACACGCACGTTGCAGGAGTATCATCACTGGAACCTGCTCAGGCTCTAGGAGTAACTTTACCCTGATCCTCGATACCTCTCTAAAGGCGCGAAGACTGTCGGCTTCAGAGAGCTCGCAGGGCTTTCACTGTGAAAACCTTGGCCGAGCAGCTGCCGCGAGCGGGCGGCGGGAGCGCCGTCCCCGCGGGGCCGCCTTCCCCCGGGACCTGCCACCCGGGAGGAGGGCGTCTGCACGGAGCCGTCGTTTCTCTGCTGTGCAGAGCGAGTGCCGACCTGCGCCCGGGTCCCCGCGGCCCCTGCTCCGGCCTGGCCCGGCCCGGCCCGCGGCCACCTCGGGGAGGGGCAGCTCGAGCCCTCGCCCACCCTCCCCGCGGCTCGGCGTCGCCTTCAACGCTGCTGACTCGAAAGCAGAGGCCCCCCCGGCGGGCTCTCCTCCGCACAGACTTCAGCAACGCGCGCAGGTGTGCCGGGCCCCGGGGTGGTGATGGCAGTGCACCTCCTTCCTTAGGCTGAAGTACCCCTGGTAGGTCATTTTTTGTAAACCCTGGACTGTGTTATTTAACTAGCGGTGGTGTGGTTTTCACGGTGCGGCAGTAGATGTCCCGAGTCTGATCTGCTTGCGAGTGGCTGGGCTGCGTAGGCTGGTGGGGATGGGTCTGGTTACACCGGGAAGCCGTCGGAAACCGCCGGCTGCCTGCCCCTTGTAACGGTCGTCCTCCTCCTCTGGTGTTGTCTCTGTGACGTATGGTGAGATGCCGTTCAGCTAGAGCGTCCGAGTGGGTCCTCTGTCCTGTATGCTGATGATGCCATGTAGATGAAGCCACTGGTTGGGTGTGGACTCATCCCGTTGAATAAAACTGCTTAACTTTTCTCAAAAAAGCACCGGCTGTAGTTTCAGAATATTTGCTGCCTCCGGGAGCGGCGTGGGCCGGCGCCCCGGCCCCTGCCCGCGCCTGCACCCGCTGCCCCAGCCCTCGTGCCCTGCAGCCCTGTTGGAGGGGGTGCGGGGTCCCCCGGAGCCCCCGTGCAGCCCCCCCACACCTTCCCGGGCCGGCGGGCAGCCGTGGGGCTGCTGGCCACCGCTCCCCCCGAGCCACGAGCCAGGCCCGCGGCCGCTCGCCGTGGCCGGCTTCGTGTGTTCCGCTGTGTTTGTTTAGACGAACCGCTGAGAGCACAGATGGGCTCTTTCCTCTCAGCCCTGGGCATATGGTGAAAGTACGCAGGGAAGAGAGGTGTAGGCCAATTTGAAGAAAAAAAAGATAAAAACCCAAACCAACCAACCAGCGCTTCCAAGAGGGCGCAAATTTGCCTGTTTCCACCGGTGTGGGAGGACCTGTGCTCATCTACGCCAGCCAAGATGTGCCCCGCGGGTCAGCGGTGTCGTTTCTCCTCCTAAATGTTACTTAAAACGCGCTTCGGTAGAAACAACGGGAGCGTTCTTCCCCTTTATTTTTGAACAGCTCTTTGCCTTGCAGCTCCCTGCGCTGAAGCCACGGTAGTTAAAGGCTGAGGAAGGGGCCGTGCGGGTGCGCTGGGCTCCTGGGGCGAGGTCTGGTGGGGAAGGGCCCCTCCGTGCCCCCCCGGCTCCTGGGGCAGGAATCGCTTCCAGCCCGCCCTGCCTGCCCCCGTCCTCGGGCAATTAAATCCCTTTGCAAACCTCCTGCTGCGGTGAGAGCACCTTCGGGTGGTTTGGGCGCTCGCCCGCGGGGAGAGCCCGTCCTGGGTGGGGAATCCCCCCCAGCAGCCTTCGTGCGCTGGGTGGGGGCGAACACCCCAGAGGAGCTGAGCTGGGCTGAGCGGCCCCGCTGCCCCCCCCGCCCCGCTCACCCTCCCTGTGCTTTTTTTTGGGGGGGGGGCGGGGATCAAGGCTCGATCTCCCGTCGTTGCTGCCTCGCTTCTCCCCAACCGTGAGCCCCTCTAAGCAGCTCGGCGCATTAGTGCTCAGCCGTGCAGGGTCAGTACGGCCCTCGAAATGCAGGGGGGTGCTTTGGCAGGGAAGCGCTTGAAGAGTAGGCTTGCTTTTATTTTAGAAAACTGATTACACAGACATTAATTATCCCTGGAGGGGCAAACAGGGGGCTGCAACCAGGACAAGAGCGATTATCTCCTTCCAAAGGGAGGGAGCGAGGGGGCTCAGGGGGCCACGCAAGCCAAGGAGACGGACAAAGGCCCTTCCCGTGGTGGCGGCAGGTCCCTTTAGAAACTCGCTTTTGTTAAGGCTGGTTTGGCGTAAGAAACCTGCCGCCGCGGCGGGGCTCAGCGAGTGTCCCGGGGCCGTGGGTGCTCCCGCTGCAGCTCCTGCTCGAGCAGCCGCCGGCCCGGCTGCGGCGGCGTTAGGCCGCGGTTGGGATCGCCAGGAGTCGTTTATTCAGCCCGTGATGGCCCCACACGTGCGCCTGCCACAGCCTTGCTCAAGCGCGCCGCGACGAGCCGGGGTGATGAGCGGCCCTGGGTAACGTCACCCCGCCTGTGTGCACCCTCACTTCAGTCCCTGTTACCGTTCTCCCCGATTGCCACCGCACTGGCCTCTCCCTCCCGGGGGGCTGCGGCCACTTTCCAGCCGAGCCCGTCCCCGCTGCCGCCTCGGGGAGCGCCAGGGCGGGGAGGATTCACCCCAAAGCGGGCGATGCTGCAGCCCGGGGCAGGCAGGGGACCCGCGGCCCCCCCCGGGGTCCCGGCGCAGGCTGTGGAGGTGCGAAGCCGTTCTGCACGCCCGGAGCACCCCGACCGCCCCGCGCCACCACCGGCGCTGCCTCCCGCCCCGGAGAGCCGGCACGCTGCGTGGGGCTTCTGCCTGCTGGGCGGGTGAAAAGCTCCGTGTCCGAACAAACAGCCCCAGCGAAGCCAGCGTGCGCCCCACGCCCGAGAGGCTGCGGCGGGCGGTTTGTTTAGTCAGTGTGATGGTTTTTCCCACTGTTTTTCCTGCCGCCGGTTCACGACTTCACTTTCCTCCCCGTCCCGGCAGTGCAGAGGAGCCCAGACCTCCCTGATTTCTTCAACCCGTCCCTGGTGTGCGGGAGAGGGCTGGCTCAGCTGCAGGTGGGGCTGGACCTGCACCCCCACAGGGCAGTGGCCCACTGATCCTTTCTCAGCATTAATTATTAGCCCTGGGGAGGGAGCCCAGGGCTGGCTCCAGGCTGCTGGTGCTGCTGGCCCAGGCCGGGCTCTTCACTGGGAGTGCGGGATGCCGGCCGGCGCGGCGCGGCGAGGCGAGGCGAGGGGTTTGTCCTTCACTGCTGCCCTGCAGGATGGGGTGCCAGGCGCTGAGCGCCGCCAGCGCAGCTCCCGGGGTGCGGGGGGGGGGGTCC